GGTCTTATTGCTCAGGTACAAGGGCTGGAGAAGACTGAGGTGCTCTTTGGAAGTCTGGAGAAGTGAGTAAAAACAGTTAAGACAGTCCTGCACCTTCCAGATATCTGTGGTGGCAAGAAAGAGAGATTGGGGGCTGGGGAAGAACAGCCCAGGGCAGTGGTACATATGGTAAGTCAAGGGGCTTCTAGAGTCTTGGTCATGTAGCCTATAGCCATGAAACCTAATGTCCCTTGGTTTCCTCATTCATAAAATGGGAAAAGGAAAGTTTCCCTGCTCTCTTTGGGGTGCCATGAAGGACGAAGAAATGTATCTAGGACACAGAAAAAAACCCAAAAACTATTCCAGGTTACAGAGTGCTATATGCATGATAATTTAAATTATTTTCCATATTTCCATTTGAAAGGTGGAATTCTTACTTCTCTTTTTCTAAATGTCCCTCTTCATGGGGTGGCAACATGAAATTTAGTCATCTCAGTTCATGGAACTATTAGAAGTTGATTTAGGAAAAAAAAATCACTATTAAGAGGTAAAAAGCACTCCATCGCCTCTTTTTTTTTTTTTTGCATTTTTGAGACACTAATATTAATAATAATAGATTGTTTTTATATTGATACAGAGTTGCTCACAAAGAGCTACAGTACTTTGTATGTAATATCTTCTACATTATCAATTGCAGGCTAGGCTTTTCCTTGGAATTAAATGAAATTTGTTCTCTGATCCTTTTCCCCTTCTTGTCCAGCTTAAATGAAATTACAGAAAACATTTTAGAGCTGCTGGCTCCTTCACTTTGGCTGCACAGTTAGGGACTATGAAGTAGGGAGGAAATGGAAAGTTCGGCTTTGTGATGCCACCAGTTTTGGTTTTCTTTTTGACATTCCTCTGGCTATTTGGAGTCTTTTTTGGTTCCATACAAGTTTTAGGATTATTTGTTCCAGCTCTGTGAAAAATGTCAATGGCATTTTGATAGGGATTGCACTGAGTGTGTAGATTCCTCTGGGTAGCATAGATATCTTAGCAGTATTTATTATTCCAATCCATGAGCATGGAATGGAATGTTTTTCTATTTCTTTGTGTCTTCTTCAATTTCTTTCATGAGTATTCTGTAGTTTTCTGAGTAAGGTCCTTTGTCTCTTTGGTTAGATTTATTCCTAGGTATCTTATGTTTTTCGATGCAATTGTAAAAGGGATCAACTCCTTAATTTCTCTTTCTTCTGTCTCATTGTTAGTGTATAGAAATGCAACTGATTTCTATGCATTGATTTTACATCCTGCCACTTTGCTGAATTCCTCTATGAGTTCTTGAGTTTTGGGGTAGAGTGCTTTGAGTTTTCCACATAGAGTATGATGTCATCTACGAAGAGTGAGAGTTTGACTTCTTTGCAGATTTGGATGACTTTTATTTCTTTTTGTTGTCTGATTGCTGGGGCTAGGATTTCTAGTACAATGTTGAACAACAGTGATAATAGTGGACATCCCTGCCATGTTTTTTATGTTAGGGAAAAGCTCTGTTTTTCCCCATTGAGAATGACATTTGCTGTGGGTTTTTAGTATATGTTTTTATGATACTGAGGCATATTCCCACTATCCCTACACTGTGAAAAGTTTTAATCAAGAAAGGATATATACTTTGTCAAATGCTTTTTCTGCATCTATTGAGAAGATCATATGGTTCTTGTCTTTTTATAATGTAGTGTATTATGTTGATTGATTTGCAGATGTTGAACCACACTTGTAACCCAGGAATAAATCCCACTTGGTCATGGTGTATAATCCTTTTAATGTACTGTTGAACCCTATTGGCTAGTATCCAGGTGAAAGTTTTGGCATCTATGTCCATCAGGGATATTGGTCTGTAATTCTCCTTTTTGATGGGGTCTTTGTCTGGTTTGGGGATAAAGGTAATCCTGGTCTCATAGAAAGAGTTTGGAAGTTTCCCCTCCATTTGTATTTTTTGAAACAGCTTCAGAACAGATATTAATTCTTTAAATGTTTGGTAGAATTCCCCTGGGAAGCCATCCGGCCCTGGGCTCTTGTTTATTGGGAGATTTTTGATTACTGCTTTAACTTTCTTCCTGGTTAGGGGTCTGTTCAGGTTTTCTCTTTCTTCCTGTTTCAGTTTTAGTGGTTTATATCTCTAGGAATGCATCTATTTCTTCCAGATTGCCTAATTTGTTGGCATATAATTGCTCATAATATGTTCTTATGATTTTTTGTATTTCTTCAGTGTTGGTTGTGATCTCTTCTCTTTCATTCATGCTTTTATTTATTTGGGTCCTTTCTTTTTTCTTTTTGATAAGCCTGGCCAGAGGTTTATCAATCTTATTAATTCTTTTAAAGAACCAGCTCCTAATATTGTTGATGTGATCTGTTCTGCTGTTCTTTTGGTTTCTATTTCATTGACTTCTGCTCTAATCTTTATTAAGTCTCCTCTCTTCCTGGTTTTAAGCTTCATTTGCTGTTCTTTTTCTAGCTCCCTTAGGTATAAGGTTAGGTTATATATTCAAGACCTTTCTTGTTTCTTGAGAAAGGCTTGCATTGCTATATACTTCCCTCATAGGACTGCCTTTGCTGCAACCCAAAGGTTTTGAACAGTTGTGTTTTCATTTTCCTTTGTTTCCATTTTTTAAAAATTCTTCTTTAATTTCCCAGTTGACCCATTCATTCTTTAGTAGGGTGCTCTCTAACCTGCTTGTATTTGAGTTCTTTCCAAATTTCCTCTGTGATTGAGTTCTAGTTTCAGAGCATTGCGGTCTGGGAATATGCAGAGAATGATCCCAATCTTTTGGTACCAGTTGAGACCTGATTTATGACTCAGTATAGGATCTATTCCGGAGAATGTTCCATGTGCATTCAAAAGGAATGTCTATTCTGTTGCTTTAGGATGGAAAGCTCAGAATACATCAGTAAAGTCCATCTGGTCTGGTGTGTCATTCAAAGCCCTTGTTTCCTTTTCTGCTGAGATGATCTGTCCATTGCAGTGAGTGGGGTGTTAAAGTCCCCTACTATTATTGTATTATTATTGATGTGCTTCTTTAATTTTCTTATTAATTGATATATATAGTTGGCTGCTCCCATGTTAGGGGCCTAAGTATTTACAATTGTTAGATCTTCTTGCTGCATAGGCACTTTAATTATGATATAGTGTCCTTCCTCATCTTTTATTACAGTCTTTGGTTTAAAATCTAATTTGTCTGATATAAAGATTACCACCCCAGCTTTCTTTTAATGTCAATTAGCATGCTAAATCGTTTTCCATTCCCTCACTTTCAGTCTGGAGGTGTCTTTGGGTCTAAAATGGGTCTCTTACAGACAGCATATAGATAGGTCTTTTTTTTTTTTTTTTATCCAATCAGATACCCTGTGTCTTTTGATTGGGGCATTTAGCTTATTTACTTTCAGAGTAACTATTGAAAGATATGAATTTAGTGCCATTGTATTATCTGTAAAGTCCTTGTTTCTGTAGATTGTCTCTGTTTCTGTAGATTGTCGCTGTTTCCTTTCTGTCTGTTACTTTTGGGCTCTCTCTTCGCTTAAAGGATCCCCTTTAATATCTCTTGCAGGGTTGGTTTAGTGACCACAAATCCCTTTATTTTCTGTTTGTCCTGGAAGCTTTTTATCTCTCCTATTTTGAATGACAGCCTAGCTGGATACAGTATTCTTGGCTGCATATTTTTCTCATTTAGCAATTTGAATATACCATGCCAGTCCTCTCTGGTGTGCCAGGTCTTTGTGGATAGGTCTGCTACCAACAAAATGTTTCTACCTTTGTTGGTTATGACATTTTTGTCCCTGAGCTGCTTTCAGGATTTTCTCTCTGTCTCTGAGATTTGCAAGTTTCACTATTATATATCACGGTATTGACCTATTTTTATTGATTTTAAATGGGGTTCTCTATACCTCTTGGATTTGAATGCTTGTTTCCTTCCCCAGATTAGGGAAATTTTCTGCTATAATTTGCGTAAATATACGTTCTGTCGCCACCCCCCCACTCTCTTTCCTCTTCTTCTGGGATCCCAATTATTCACGTGTCGTTTCATTTTATGATATCACTTATCTCTCAGATTCTCCCCTTGTGATACAGTAATTGTTTATCTCTCTTTTTCTCAGCTTTTTTATTCTCCATCATTTTGTCTTCTATATCACTAATTCTCTCTTCAGCTCATTTATCCTAGCAGTTAGAGCCTCCATTTTTGATCGTATCTCATTAATAAACTTTTTGATTCTGACTTGATTATAGTTCTTTTATTTCTCCAGAAAGGGATTCTCTAGGGTCTTGTATGCTTTTTTTCAAGCTCAGCTAATATCTTTATAGTCATTTTTCTGAACTTTAGTTCTTGACATCTTACTTATATCCATACTGATGAAGTACCTGGTAGTCAGTACTGCCTCTTGTTCTCTTTTTTGAGGTTAGTTTTTTCATTTTGTATTTCCTCTAGAAAGTGGTCACTTTTCTATTTGTAGAGTTGCAGTTATTCTTTTCTTAGATATCTGGTTGAGTTCTTTTGTGTTCAGAATGATTTAATAGCTATCTAGCTGAATTCTTGGGACCAGATGAAACTAAAGTCTCCTATACCTCCACCATCTTGGATTATTCTGCAGGCAATGTATTTATTCTCACATTCTCAATTTCCTCCTTTCTTTCCTCCCTTCCTTTTTCTTCCTCCCTTCCACTTTCTCCTTTCCTTCCTCCCTCTTTTCTGCCCTTCCTCCATTCCTCCCTCCATCCTTCCAGCATTCTTTCCCCTGATGAGGGTCATTTTCTCCTTCTTTTCTGCACTTCTTTTTCCTTTCCTATTTCTGTCTCTTTCTTCCTCTTGTCCTTCCTTCCCTAGGACACAAAGGGAGCAAGACCCAATCCTGCCCCCACAGAGTTTACCTTCAAATGGAGAAGATTCTCCTTTACAACCTTTTTTGTGTAACTTTCATAAAATAATCATGATATGTACACACCTCTTATCTTCACACCAGAGTTTGAAAGCCATCTCTAGCCATATACTTACAGCTATGGAAAACCGCTGAATGTTTTCATCCTCACAGTCTTGGATGACCTTATTTAGTTGATGGTTGTCATGGGACTCCCCATCGGTCACAATTACCATGACTTTTTTAACTCCTCTTCTGGCACCCCGAGCTTCAGTGAAAGCCTCCTTCCTGAAGTGAACACAGAGGAAAGAGAAGCAAATAAAACACCATCCCAAAGTTAGGCAAATGGTAAATGAAAGAAAAACACTGACAACTCTAGTTAGAACTGTGCTGTCCCTCCAATATCAACATTCACAACCATTATTCAAGCTGGGAGGCATGATGATTGTTATTTGTAATAGTTTTAGATTTCTCCCAGATGATAAAGAGGTCACCATTTTACTAATCATCACATATCCCATATACAAAGGGCAGCAGTATTTCATTCTTTGGACACTTCTCAGGGAAGGTGTGACTGGACTACACATCAGATCTGGAGAAGTTCAGATCTTAAATACTTGCTCAGCCACTCTTTTCTCTATAAACACTCATCTTTTCTTCTGCTTTTGGCAGAAGCTTTTGCTTTGTCTTCACTTCCACCACATCTACTTTGATGTTTATAGAACAATATGGAAGTCCTTTGTGCTGAGTTGAGGAGATGGGAGAAAACAGAATTTTGTATGGCTGTGAAGGCTTGAGAGTGTTCTTGGATATGGAGGAAAACTGGACATAGCAATGAAAGACTGCTGATGGCTGTGGTCTGAGTCAGTGATAGAGGAGGGCTGTGGGGCACAAGAGTGGATGGAGTACCTATGAAAGTTGTGGTCTGAACTAGGTTTTAGGACACAGGTTGCTGGGTGTGGGGTGGAAGAAAGTGGAACAAAAAGAAAGTGAAAATGCTATAACCTAACTGCAAAAAAGGAATTTTTTTATTTAATTCAAAAAGCATTTATGGAAAGAGATGGAAGAGAAGAGAAATTAACAATTTTTGTTGTTTTGTGCTTCTACACACACACACACACACACACACACACACACACACGGGCATATTTTTCCTCTATTTTCTTTTACTCACTCACATTCCTTTCTGGAGTCAAGTATATTTTACTTAGGAATGAAATAATGAAAAGATTTCATATAATATTTTTTAGATCTTGGTATAAAATGCAGCAATCATTATTCTAAATTATCCCTTTCAATATTTTTCCTTGGTCATGAGGACAAACCCCTGCAGTTTTTGATATGTCCAAAAAACACTTCTCTTAAACTAACCTTCCAAAGGGTTTGCACAATATACATTAGTTTTACTGTAGACACACAGTAAATATACACAATAGTAGGTAATTTGTGAGCAGGCTAAAAGATCTTGGTGATGTGGTCAAAGGGATTTTATCTCTGGTTATTTTCCTTTGAAAGGGTTGAATGTAAATATGAGAGGATGTTAACAATTGTTGATTTGTTTGGTGAGTACATAGGATCTTGTTGTACTATTTTTTACATTTTTAAATTTTTGTTATAATTTTCAAAATAAAGAAGCTATTTAAAAAAAAAGTTGGCCATTAGGGAACTACATATCTCTGCCCTCTACACTATAAAGATAGATTTTTTTACTTCTTTATATGTACAAACAAAGGTGAAAACAGATGTTAAAGTCCAGTCTTTAAAGGAAATCCAGATATGGATATCATATAAGATTTGATCCTTTTTATAATCCTAACTTCTTAGAGGATCACCAAAACTTCCTAATTCTCTTAAAGATCCAGGCCATTACTGAAGGAACCTCAACCAGTGGAGATGATTAAAAGACTTTTCTTTAAAAAAACCTGGTAGATCTAAGCAAGGATTGGTTTTATATAATGTAAGAGTAGCCACTGGCAGAACTCCTGAGTACACTCTCTCTGTTTCAAATGTCTTCAGCAAATTGCCATTTACCCCCAAATACTAACACCCAATGAAAATAGAAGTAAAGCATTCTAACAAATTAAAAATACTGTTTGTAACTTGCCCTGCCAAAAGAACAATTAAAAATATGCTTCAATGTGAAAAACTAATATACAAGAAGGATACTTAGTAATACCATTATGGAGTTTTATTTATATACAAAACTCAATAAACTATGTGTCCTACAGCTAGAACCTTTGTGAAACATGTAGGCAAAAACCATATAGGGTCATAGTATTTAGAGTGTATTTATGCAGAAGCAAAATTCTTCAGTTAGTTTTCAAAGATGAATATTCATTCTTAAGTGGTTGCCTTTGGAAAATACACAGCTCCCTACAGGCTCAGAGCTTTTAAAGAACACTTTGATTTACTTTGAATGTGCAGTCCCATTTAGTCAATTATTTAAGAGGGTGCATTCAGTACACCTCAACATGTGCACTCTTCGTGCATGCAAACTGGTGATCCTACAGGAAGGTAAATGTAAAATTACCCCATCTGTTTGTGGTTATTTTCTCTTGAGCCCCATGTAAGTAGAACCACATGCTTCTCTAACACTTACAAGTCCAATGCTGCATGTAAAATTTTAAATTTTTGAATATCCAACCCATTCTTTAGAATATCCATATTAACTATTTTAACCCCCCTTAAAATACTGATCTTAGCAGGCAGGTGAAATGAGAGCGTGGCTAATTAGCTCTTTAATAACCAGATGAGAGTCCAAAAGTTGAAGACACTTAACAGAAGGATCCTTAATATTAGTCAAACTTTATTAGAGTTCCTGTGATTTTGGTATTGTTTAGTTTTTGTTCAGAACCTTACTAGCTTTAAAGGCAAATCAGGAAGAAAAATAGCAAGAGATGAAAAAGTTTAATGCAGTTGGCAAAAATATAGAAAAAAATGTTTTACATTGTAATCGAAGGAGAGTTCTGTCGCTTCTCATAGAATGAAGTTCAGCCAGAGTGGACATGTGCTCTCCATGGACGTGTAGGAGGAAGAAAGGGACGTAAAGTAGAGGGGATTTGGAGAAAGGAAGAAAGCGTGCATGAATGATGAAGTTCTTACAACTCCTTTGAATCTTTGCACTGAAAATGTTTTCAAATCCAGCAATATTGAATTTGACCTCTTAAAAACTGTTACTTGAGAGTTCAATAGCCTTAAACCAGGTACTGTAAAATTACGGAAATACTAGGACATAAATACTATTGAGTAGAAGTGGATGAAGATTAATCATTTTTTAAAAAAATGAGAGTCCTAGAAACTGTAAACAAGGAACAAAGGGAAAAGATATTCACTAATATTATGTCTTAGTACCCAAGAACATGAAGCAGCAGACTATAGCAATTTTTGTGACTGAATTTTTCCGTCATTCAACCTTCGGAATAAGAGGAAAGATATGAAGGGTGGGGAGACTATATCATAGAAAAACTTGGTCCTAAACCTATTAGCTAATCAATGGAATCTAGTTTTTAAAAAGATGGCTTTAAATCTTGCGAAGGAAAATATTCAATTGACATTTCAAAGGGCTTGATTGTGAGTACTTATTTTTGCAGTCTTTTACTTTTATTTATTTTTTAGTTCACATACCTGGCTGTGTCTATTCCAAGGGCTGTCATAGTCTGGCGGCCACCTCTCTGGATTATTTTATTTGCTGCAATAAGTACCTCTTCCGTTGAGGAGTACTTATTGAGGTTGAACTCATGGGTTACATTTTCTCCATACTGTACAATTCCAACCTGAAATACCAAGCCACTGTGAGTTAGCCATCTAGCAATGTTCCATTATCAATTTTCTTTCATTCTTTCTTTATTTAAAGATGTGGATCAGATATACATTTTTGTCTCTCAGTTTAAAAATTCATCAGTTTCATGAGTTTAAAATCATGAAAATGATTTTATCATTTATCATAAAATCAGTTTAAAATTCATCAATTCATGAGTTTAAAAATTCATTAGTGCACAAATCCTTCTCTTTTGACAGCAATAACCATTGCCACATGTGGACAGTCACAGCCCAGAGAACAAGAATGATAGTGCTGTTATTAAACGTCTCAAACAATTGGTTTATTTAATAGTTTCTACTGAATAGGTCTGGCAGGCCTTGGGAGTGGGTGTAGAAGGTGCTATACGCTGACCTGCTCTCTGCCTTCATGGAGCTTCTAAACTAGACAGAGACAGAGATAGAGTTTCAACCCATGATCATTCCAATGCATGTTCAACTGTGGAGAGGGCTCTACTGGAAAAGCTGCTTAGCAAGGAGAACCTAACGTCCTACTTCAGGAGAGGCTCAGGGAAAGCCTCTTAGAAGTGATATTCAAGTTAAGACTGAAAGGTGCAAGAAGGGTGGAAACTATCCTGGATGGAGGCTGAGTGGGAGGATGGGGTCCACACAAGGGGAATCTGTATGTCCGGAAGATGAGATGAGCAAAAAGCAGGGATGTCCTGAGAACCAAAAGGAAGTCAGTAAGCCTGGACCAGGCTGTGAGGGGAAGTGAAACAAGATGAGTCTGGATGAGTAATAAGTGGGGCATGTATCTGGGGAGGGCACATATGTGCTTCAGGCTTTATCTAGCTCAGATGTAGTTTCATTTCTCTCATGCCATCCCTTCTCACCACCATCCCGTTTCATGTTCTCTGTCTTCCCTTTCTTTTTGCCTCCCTCCTTTCATTCTGTCTTTTGCATAGACCGGATAATGTGGGCAGCTAACTGTAGAGCCACCATAGAGTAAAATGATACAGAGGGTAAAGTGTCCTCAGATTTGATTTCTCTTGCTCTATATTCCTCTCCTCTCCCCTAGAGATGCCCATTTTTCTTATTTGTTTTTAATACCTTTCTTTAAATGTTGATGTGAACCAATAGACTAATCTACATCAAGAATTGTGACCGAAGATAATTTTTGTTTAATTTTCTCTCCCCAAAATTCAAGATCCAGAGGATTCTACACCCAAAGGAATGTCTTAATGAAGAAATTCTGGGCACTACATTTCTTGGGCTGGGGAAGCTATTTGAGACAAGACTGCCTTCTTTCCCAGGCAATTGTGTAGTTTGTCCATTGATAAAGTTGCCTCATGCTTGCTTCAAACTCATCCTATTTCCAAGTCTGATCCTATTTCCAAGTGTCAAGGGGATCGACATCTACTTTCCAGCCTCCTTTGCAGATGTCACTGTTGTCAGAAATCTTCAGGCTTAATTACATGTTTGATTAACAGATACATTTCCACTACTGTGTCTTCTTGAAAGCCAGAAGTATACTCTGGCGTTTTCAGAAACCAATAAGAGAACCTTCCAATTTAAAATATTTTTTATTATCTTTGAGCTACCTTCTCGAGTACATTAGACATCTTGGAGCAATTAAGGCCACCATACTTAAATAAGAGTAGTATCCTATATTTTAATGCTTTTAAAAACCTTTTTTCCTAATTTATTCAGATTATAGTAACAGAAATTAGTACCATATTTTATAAATGAGGAATTTAGGTTTAGAATGCTCTTCATGGTGAAGGGGCAGAGAAGGGTCTAGTCTAAGATGAGAATTCCTTATCCCAGGGCTTTTTCTATCACTCAACCTCCTCTCTACCAAAACACACTTCCCTAAAGCCCTCGCATTCTCTGTCACCTCACCCTGCTAGTTTCTACTAAATGCTGCTACCTCCATCTGAAGTACCTCCAGGTGTACTAAATACTAAGTACTAAATACTGCAGTACCTCCATCTCAATTTCAAGTGTTCTTCTGTCTGGCCATTAACTTAAACTCATGTACATAGTATATCTAATTCATCAATTCTTTCACCACATCAAGACTTCTAATTAATTCAGAGAGCCTACTTTTTTTTTTTTTTTAACTTAGCCTAGATTCCATGGTCCATCACCATAATCATTTACTTGCAGACTTTAACTCCTTTAACCTTTTTCCCCTCCATTAATTCACTTGGCTAACTTCCAACTCTGGTTAAGTCCAAATATCTCCTTTTCTTTGCATGCTTCTGTGACACTAAATGTTTCAACACAGAAATCACACAACTTGTAGACTGGTCTCACTTTAAAGTTATGGCCATGAATCTTTAATGTGGTTGCACATAACACTGCCCAACAGTCCTACTCCTTTGTACTAATGAATGCACTTTGCTCCATTTATTGAGTTCCATCGAATTCTAGTCCTAAGATTTAACTGTTCAGGAGAAAGAGAGTATCACACTGATACACGGGGAGGAGGTCACATGAAAAGAGGCAAACAGGCTGTTTTGTGCCATAATATTTGACATTTGGAACACATTTTACATATCCTATAAAATCTTCTATGAACAATTGGACTACCTGGACACCAGGAATAGCAGAAAAATTTTAGCCCCTTGGTAAATCAGAAATCAGTGCTTTATATCTTCTCTCTCTCTTTCTTTACCTACTTAACATATATCTCAATTTTGTAAGTTTATTCTTTAGAGACTTTTTAACTGCCAGTTACCTCACCCTTTCTTTCATTTTGCTTCTAACAACTCCACCTGACAGTCTCTTCAAACGACTGGCTGCCCTTGGACTCCTAGAGTTGCTTTGCCCCAGAGGCTCAAAGAACCAGAAGTGTCTGGAAATTTTCTCCCTCCTCTCCATAGGCAATGTCTGAATCCAGGCAGTGAAAGACCGGTCCCTTGACTCAACTTGGAGCTTCCCTTCCAGATCAGCCTGAGGTCTTGATTTCACCTGAAATCACACCCTTGGTGGTCCTCAGTTGCTACTGTTTTGCTCTGCCAAATCTCTTACCATTTTCTTTTAAAAGCACCCCTTTAGTAAATCACCGTCACTTGGCTCATTTTCTCAGAGTTTGTGTCTGGGAAACCAGACTTAAGGGAGGGAGAGAGGAGATATAAAACACCAATTTCTGACTTAACAAAAGGCTAACATTTTTCTGTTATTCCTGGTGTCCAGATAATCCAATAGTTCATAGAAGGTTTTATAAGATATGTAAAGTATGTTGCAAATGTCAAATATTATGCCACAAACAGCTTTGTTTAATTTCCATATATTCTACCTCTTCTCCTGTGATCCATTATCCCTGTTTCTGAATTTCTTCATTGGCCCAGGCCAGACCTCACTGCCTTGAACTTGGATTGTGGCAATCTTTGGTGTCTCCACTCTCACTCTCCCTCCGATTCCATTCTCCTAGCTCCTTCTACATATTCATGGAAGACTAAATGTCTTGAAATTCTGCTTTTATCACATAACTTCCTTGTTCAAAAATCTCTAATAATTCTCCATGGCCTACTACACCAATATACTTGAAAGATACACTTTGAAATACACTTTGAAGGAGAATTTTTATTCTGTGTATGATAGAAAACAGATAAAACTTCAAGGTGCTCCTTGAAATACTAGACCTGTAGGGTAAAATTCAGTTTTCTTTCCCTGACCTGCAGTCACTCAACAGCCTGACTGCACCTTCTTTGTTCTCCCTCAACTTTAGGATTCCCCAGTCCCAGGGGCTGTCCCTACCCCTTCTCATCCCTCTAACAAAACTCAATTTTTGCTACCCATTCTGGAAGATCCAATTCAAGCTTCACCTTCTCTGCAAAACTTTCCCCACCTAGTAACCAATCTAGTTCATACTGATGTTGCTCTTCTCCAAGCCCTGAGGCAAATTTATCTGTTTTTCTCCTGTGAGTACAGCATTCTTCTCAACTGCTTTGTATGCGTGCTTTATCTCTCCAACTACGTTGTGTGTTCTAGAGGGGCAAAGAGGGGTAAAGAGCATGGACTATGTCATAGCTTTTGGTATCTCTTATCCCACACCACTGCTTTGCTTTGCTTACAGTTGACCCGCATAAATTCTTACTAGATGACTGTAACACTTCACATAAGCAAGTAGAAAATTGAGATAGCAGGGAAATAATGATAAGCAGAAAAAGGGAGACAAAAATAAGTGTGGGAAATAAGAAGACTGGACAGTGGAAACTCAGATCTCGGGAAATGACATAGTGTGGGACCCTGGCTGCTACTGGGCCACATATTTCCTTAGAAAACAGGCCGAATAAGGCCTGCTCTGTCTTCCCCATAAAAAGGGTGACATTTATTGATTTTCATCCCAGGAAAATGGTAAAATCACACACAAAAATATAAGTAATGCTTTGCTGAGTACGGATGAGACTCAGTGAATAATAACAGTTTCCGTTTCAGCTTAGTGTATATTTAAGGCAGGTAAAAACAGATTCATACAAGCACACTGTATATATGCGCATATGCAACAGAATCAAATAAAGGTGATGATTAAATAGCAAGATAAAGAGTGAGCCAAGTGAGGAATACATTGTAAGGAGGCTGGAGGAGAGAAGTACAAGCATAGTTACTGTCTCACATTGAAAGGCCTCATGGAGGGAAGATGACGTAGCCTCCTGAGTGACATACCCAGGTAAAGAACACACAATAGGTTATTAATGTAGAATGGGAGAAAGCAAAGCTGTTTGGAGCTTGGAAAATATGTTAAAAATGATGAGGAATTGAAATCATTCTAGGAATTGAGAAAAATAAAAACAGCCAATAATCATCATATTCAACTTGAAGCAGCAGGTTGCTTCAGTAGTTGGAATGATACCAAAACCAGAGGGTAGAAGCTAAGTAGAACACTGTTGAGTACTGGAGATAGAAGGATTCTAGACATGTTTGCTGAATGGAAATAAGTAAGCAGGGATGGCAGCTAAAAGAAGCAAGAGGTTCGATGTACAGAAATGGAAAAACAGTAGCTTATGAC